ACTCATCTCATTCGCTCTGATTGCATATAGAATTTTGCTGCATGGTTTTGTTTTGTTTTTTACTTGCACTTAATTGCATTTTGAATGTGTGCACAACCACAGGAATATTGTTTTCATTATTTTAACCAAGTTTTGCTTATTGTTAATGTTTACTAAAGTTGTTCTGCTGTTTTCTGCTACTAACCAAGAGTAAAAAAGTTTTTATTGTCTTGTTATAGGCTCGTTATATTTATCTTTTAATTTAAAAAAAAAATAATAATTTCATGCCCTTAATGGCAGTTTTCTCATGTGTTATCGAAATTGGTTTAGAATATTGAACTTTTTTAGGTTATTGTATTGTAGTTAGGAATTTCAGTATCGTGACAACACTAGTTTAGGGCATGCTGCTTGACACTGGACATCAATCTTTGGGTACGTCTAATATTAACATAATTTTCAGGATACTAGGAGGTATTTGCAAAACCCAGTTTTCATTTAACAAAAGAAGCCAAAGTTCACAAATGTTTAATGTTGTCTTAACACAAGCAGCCGGACAAGAACTCTGACCAGCCTGACCAAACATTCAGTGCCTTCTTAAGGTACAGTGTCTGATACTCAGAAACATTTCAGCCCATATACCAAAAAGTATTGAGGTTCTATACTCAGCCAGTATCAGCTGCTTCAAATCTTTCTTTCAGCGGAAACGTGTAGCTCAAAACACACACATACACTCCGTTTATTCACCCATGACCACCCTGTAACACCCCACACTTGGCAGTATGCTTATCTGGGCAGACAGCTTTGGGCAAGGGGAACCATCTCTTCTGATCTCCTCTGCAGTTTAAGAACCTTTTAACTTAGAAATAGCCCTCTGCCAAGCCCACCGCCTCTTGATTCCGGCTTATTCCCTCATCTCATGGGACTGATCTTCCGCCCCCATTGCAAACCCTGCAGCAGCGTTAGCAGAACGGGAAAGCGCCGATAGACATCCTGGCTTTTGAGATATCCCCGCACTGGTGTAATAGGAGACCTGTGAGTGGATTTGATGAGTGAGTGAAGTGTGGTTTTTCGAACACTGTGTAGAGGGCTGTGAGAGTGTGTGTGTGCTCACACCAGCACCTTCACTGGGACTGACCTGGGCATGGCGGGCTGTTTTTAGGGCAGCTGGATGATAGGTCACAGAGGTTTTTTGGTTTGGAGATAATTTCCTGCCTCTGATAGACATCTGCTAAGTAGCACAATAACCTAATAGGAGGAGATGAGGGGGAAAGGGGGACATGACAAACAAGCCAAAGACTTGCTCCTTCTGCCTTGCTCTTAAAGTCAATAATAGGAGAAAATTGGTTCTTGAAATTGCATTGAAGAAAAGTGGGTCTCTTTCAGCGAAGTATAATGCCTCAGAATACATTTGGTGAGCAGCAAATGGAGAAAAATGGAGGGTAGTTACACGATTGTCTTTCATTTCAGAGAGGGGAAAACTGTGGAGGTATCCCCCCGTTAAGGCTAGCTTTTAGTCTCAATCTACACCATGTGTCCTTTTCCCTCTCTCCCAACCACTATCTTTTAACAAATGGGCTGTGAGGATGGGCTGGTTGTGAAATTAGTATCCTCACAGAGAGAGACACAGAGAAAGGATTATGTGAATAGCCAGTAATGAGCTCAAAGTGCCAGTGTGTTTGGGCCAGGCCTGCCTGAGTGTGAGAGGAAATGGCACTGCAAGCGACCTTTTTTGCTCAAGCACCTGGCGAGAAATAGAGTGGCCCCTCTCTTCCATCTGCAATGTGTGTGTTTGTGTGTGAGTGTGTGTGTGTGTGAGAGAGAGAGTGAGAGACAGAAAGAGAGAGTGAACTGTGTAATTAACAAGAAATTTGGAGTCTAAAGATTTAATTTACTTACATTTATCAGGGATAAGCATTTTTTCCGAATGGCATTTTCACACCGTGAGGTTTGTGCTCAAAGTGTTGTTTTGTGCTGCCTCTGACATGTTTTAAAAATACACATTTTTGACTTCGAATGTTAAGTGTGTTACATCAGCCTCAGGGTCTGAGGTCAAATTAAATGTCTTGTGAAAAATGTTTTATTAAAAAATCTTTTTTTATGAATGAGAGACTGAATTCTTAGCAGGGGTGATGCTTTTTTTCCTGTAACACCTGCTTCTAATCTTTTAACTATTCAAACCGGGAAAGTCATTCAACCTTAATTATAGGCAGTAAATTGTGTTGTGGTTGTCTATCATGCTTCCTTCCTTCGTTTCTCAATCCATACTTTAGCACTTTACATGCCATCTGTGTAAGGAGGGTTGTTAAAGTTTATACAAATGCACCTATTAATAAAAATCCAGTCAGGTTTGATTTAAATTATGTTTTAAATGGTGCTATCTCTGCATTTTATGAGTCAACACATTAAGCAGGACGTGAACTTACAAGAAGAAATTTGTCTTCTCCTCTCCTCAAACCAAAGCTTGTTTTGTTGTTCAAGGTCAGATGATGTATCAGTAACAGTCATCTTGAATGGATGTGAATACTTTGATTCTGTTCAACATTTTTAGCACCAGCATTCAGTGCGGGGGAGTAACGGGAGCGTATCTATGTTTCCAGGGTTCTATGTTTCCCGGGTTCTATGTTCCCCACTTAACCCTGCAAAAAAGGTTCTATGCTCCCCGCTTACACAAAAAAGGTTCTATGTTTCCCGGGTTCTATGTTGCCCGCTCAACCAAGCGGGAAACATAGAACCCTTTTTGTGTAAGCGGGGAGCACAGAACCTTTTTTGCAGGGTTAAGTGGGGAACATAGAACCCGGGAAACATAGGGATGACCCCGGAGTTACTAGTTACATGTAGTTAAATCACAAAATAAATGTAATTATAATCAGTTACAGTTATTAGCCTGGCCTTAACCTGCAAAATGTCACTCAAATTAACCAGGAAGAGACAAAAAAGGACCACAAAGAAACACAAAAAGAGATGCAAAGGAACTGCAGACAGACATAAAATTACAACAAAAACAGGAAAGACAACCACAAAAAGATACAAAACAACCACAAGGGGACACAAAATGACCAAAAAAGACATAAAATTACCTTAAAGAAATCCAAACGATTACGGAACGGCACAAAACAACCACAAGGAGTCAAAGGGACAAAACCACAAAAGCTGCCAAAGCACCACAGAGTCTGTGTGTCTTGCTCCTGTGTAGGAGAGGTTGTGGGGCCCTTTGCATATTTGTGTATATATATATATTACTTATTACATTTTCAACAGGGTAGTGGTCTGTAACAACACTGCCAAGATTCCATAACTCTGCACATAAATACACCGTAAAGATGCAATTTTAAATTCACTTTTAAACAGTTACTTTCCACCTTGATCAGCTATTGCAGGAACACATTGTCATTTGTAAAGGTTAGTTTGATTGAATGCTTCTGTTAGCGGTTTAATATTTTGATGTATTTCACTGACGATCTGTATTTTGTTTTATTCCTGAAATGAGAAAAAACAGGAGTCAGCCCTTTATGGACTGCCATTAATTTATCTCGTAATCATTCTAATTGCTTTCTTTAAATGATAATCTATAAACCTAAGTAATGGACTGATGGCAGGTGGCTAAATGTTCATTTAGTGATTCACTGAGAAAATAAATAACAGGGGACAAGCCTGTGACAGGCGCATGAGAAATCATTTTTCAATAATCTGCCACGCATCATGGCAGGAGACGCTGGCGCTGACAGCACGGATGAAATATTTGCCTCTGTTCTTTGTTTTAATATGGGAGGAGACCGGCCCAGATGGAAACGATAGTGTTTCATATCGATGTATTTTGGACAGAAGACTCAAACACATGCAGAGCTAAGATTAAGGCCACGATGCTTTACACGGAGACAGCAAAGCCTTTTAGGTGAGACTGGGCTTTTATTCAGTACAGTAAGAGCACATTGTTTCCTGGAAACCAAACAATATCTGGTAAGTGAGCTATAGAAGAGTGAATCTCGATCCTTATCATATAAAAACGCTTTCTGGACCTAAATGGTTTGCTTTAGCTGCTCTCATCTGGCACATAATCCAAGTAGAAGACTAAGCAATCAGTCATCATTGTGCTATGTGACACTGGTATGTTGCTGATGAATGATACCTACCATTCTACTCGATTGTTGAGGGTTCTCAGTGAGGGAGCTGTGGGTTTTCTTATATATATATATATATATATATATATATGTATAACTGTGTCCTGTGTTTCCACTGGGGCTGTGATGGGCTTTTTGAGAGGAAACTAGCAGCAACTGCCTCCCTGTTCCTGAGTGAAGGTGGCTGTGGGGAAAAGGGGGAGTGTAGAGCTGGAGATTTATGGCCTAGAGGGAGATTGATTAGTGCCGTCACTAGCCCTGATGTACGGTTGGCAGTCTCCCCCTCCCAACCCATCGCATTTCACACACACACATACACACATGCAACCATACGGTTCAACACACAGCTACACATACATCCAGACACCGCTCAGTCCCCCAGGCCTTTCCTGACAGTCCCCCAGAGCTGTTGCATGTTAAGTTGTAGCAGACAGACTGCTGTTTTCTCAGCATTACCATTTTTTTGCTGTCCATAGATAACGCCATCAATCACCACATACACACTGCCCTGGAAAGAATGTGCCTGAGTGCTGCTACTTTCTGTGTGTGCCTGTGTGTTTGTTTTGAGGATGGTTTCATAGACAGGAGATGCGGTTGAATGGCTGTGTGGATGTGCTGTTTGAAGCTGCAGAGTGACTGGCCTGGACTGTGCTCTGAACCCGTGTCAACCGTGCTGCCCCAGTGCAGGTGTGTGTTTATCATTCAGCACACAGAGCTGAGGGGCAGGCAGCTGTAGGCATTCTTCCCCAATTAAATCCTGGGTGAGAAACCTAGCCCATCTAGCCCAGAGCCAGCTCCTGCCAGCTTACCGGACACGGCCATGGAGCTTTGACCTCGAATCATCCTGCTTTACTGACTCAATATTCCTCTCTTTCTCTTTTTCTTGCTCTTTTTCTGCTCCAGGTTGGCCGCAGAACTCCCCCGGCTGTAGTACTGTGCCCACCTCGCCATGCTGGCCTGTCTGCAGAGGAGGCAAAACCCTCCACCCCAGCACCCAGTGTGTGCCAGCAAGACCCTGGAGCTCCCGCAAGCCCTTGGACGGAAGTGTGAGTGAACAAAGTGACAGGGAGCGATGGAGGTCAGGGGTTCAGCTTGCCCAAAGCTAAGGAATGAGAGAGGCTTGTGTTTGTCGTTTGTAGTTAATCTATCGGTCATGGTGAATGATGGAAATGGGTAGTTAACCCCGACTGTGAATAAGTGAAGGAAAATAGACTTTCCGGTTTCTGTTGTTTGTCACTGTGTTCCCTTGCTACTCTGAGGAATTCTAAACAGTTTCATTCGCTCTGCACTTAGACCTTGGATTGCCATGTTGTTTGGCTACTCATTGTGAGGGGGGCCTGTTTAGCTGTGCTGATTGTGCAGTCGTGGCAACAGGGCTGAACAGACAGTGTTTAACGTGCCTCACTGGCCCTGGGTGACCCTGAGGGTCTGTAAACATTTACAGTGTCTGGCCCTGGCTGTGCCGGCCGCCTGTAAAGCATGACAGCTGCTCTGTTTGCTCCCCGAGCACCACCCTCTGTCCACTCACAAAATGGTGTAAAGGGACAGAGATGAGCCAGGGCTGAAAACTGTTACAGAGCTGGCAAAACTAGTTCTAACCAGTTTGGGATTAGAGAGAGCTGCAGTCAGGCATCTGGAAGGTGAATTTCTCCCTAATTTTGTTGAAGCTTTTGGATAAGCCTTTTACAGTGAGAGTCTGTTTTCTGATGAGGGGAAGAAAGGTCTTTCCTTCTTATTGAATGCTGCTAGAGCCTTTGGTGGCCTTTGTTTACATGGCAGGCCTACGAGCTACCTCAAGCCGATTAAAAGGACTGGCGGATGGAGAGCAGGGGAGCACTAACCTACCAGTTTTTACCTCAGCTTAGAGAGGCTTAGTGGGAATAGCAGGTTCCGTGCTTCTTCATCAGTGTGACATTGTATCAGGCCTGTAACCAGCCCAGTGAAAGGCGATGAAATAAAGCACTGCCTGCGTTCTTTCTCAGCTTCTCACTGGCCAATTAGCTACTTCTCAGCTCAACATCCTCTCACTCCAATTGCCTCCTACAGGGGAGACGAGAGTCACAAACAAGGTGACTGGGCACTGCCTCTGTCCTCAAATCTGGAGTTGTTTTTTTGCTGTTCTGTATGGATGTGTTATATGGAGCTGTATAGATGTGTGTGAAACAGAGACAGAGTGCGAGACATAAACAGAGCTCCAAGTGCATTTAGAAGGGGCAGCTCTTCAGCTGAGTGGGGTTCAACCGGGCTCACTAATGAGGTTTCAGAGAGAGGTGAAGTGAAAGGGAGGACAAAGAGGAACTGCGCAAAATAGAATTAGAGAAGGTAAAGATGGAGAGGAAGGGAGGGAAATGGAGGGAGTCCTCAACAGTCGTCTTAATCGATTCCCTCCTTCCAATTTCGCAGGATTAGCCCACTTCCTCTCAGGGTCCTTTATTGAGGAGCAGCCAGTGGGAGTCAGGACTCAAATCAATAGAGAAAAAGAACAGTTTCCAGTCTTCCCTTTGCCCTCCCTCTTACTGACCCTCTCTGTCTGACTCTCCCTCTCCCTCGCTTTCTCCACCTGTTAAACCCTTTGATTGAAAGACTACCACAGCGACTGACTTGAGGTTCATAATGAGGATGTTTGAACATAATAGCCTCCTTTCTGTCCTTGGAGGGGGAGGGGGGAGCAAGTGTTGGATTTCCACCACTGTGCAGCTCTTGGCCTCAATAAGGCAATTGTTCATCCAGGCCCAGAAGGGGTGCAGAAAGGCAGACAGTGGGTCTGGCTGCAGAAGTGGGCACACTCAGGTCACCACGCTGAGCAGATCCCCGTGATTGATTGTTCATGGCCCAGTTTGTGCCAACGTGGAACGGGGGTTGTGGGTAAGGTGACCTGGGCTCTCAACAGGAGGCTGAATACCAGAATACACCACTCAAAGAGACAGAGTGAGTGAGAGCACAGGAGGGGGATTACCTGGCAGCGAGGTAGAGGTGAGCTGTGTCATTTGCATCCGCTGTCCTACACAAAAGTAGTGCGTGTGTGTGTGTGCATGTGTGTTTGAGGAGTGGGGTGGCAGAGCATTTTGGATGAGAGGGCGAGGAGGGTTTTAGCAAAAGCCCCTGCATGCAGATGCCGAGTGGCTGCACAGATCATTGATGCGACTCCCATTAAAAATCCCTCATACCCTCAATAAAAAAGGACTTAACTGGCTCTACCATCAGCTGGAAGCGTTCAGATCGGCTCGCCAGACAATCAATTTCCCCCAAGCGCACAGAGCTTAGCGGGAGAAACGGGAGGCGGAGAGCGGGATGTTTCCATTATCACAGCCCGCACTGTGTCTGGACTCGGGGGGGTTGGGTGAGGTACTGTAGAGCGAGGAGTGCAGGGGAGAGAAAGGAGGGAGTGGCAGAGGGAGATGGGGAAAGACAGACAAGTGGAGGAGAGAGAGAAGCAGAAAGGGAGACAGAGAAGCTGGCTTTTCAAAAAGCCATTGACCGCCTGCCCTTAAAAATATCATATTGGATTAGCCTCACAGAGGCGGCCTTTTGATATTTTTTTCTTTGGCCGTAGAATTAAAAGGAGTGCAGAGCATTACTTGAATTATAAATCATAGGCACTTGCTTTCACTGCGCCCAAATTCCGCGCATATGTGGCTGCACTCTCCAGCGCCAGCGCCTGTCATTTTTAATTAAATCCCCCCTTATGGGTGACATTTGTAGCTTGCCCCCTCCTCCGTCCTCCCCTCCACGTCTCTCTACCACTGCCCTAGATGGAGACATGAAAGGCAGAGACGCCAGTGGAGCCAGGGCCTCTCATCGTGTTGTGCCCCAGAGAGAGGGCACCCATCCAGACAGATGAGAGAGAAAGGCCCTGCAAGGGGAGAGGGGTGAATGGATGCCACTGACCCTGGCCACCCTCGGCCAGCAGCGACCTCCCTTGCTACCCATCCCTCTCCTTGATCATCGTCCTCCACTGTGGGTCTGAAGGTCCAGGGAGCAGGGGTGAGCATAACTGCTCCTGGACAGGAGAGGGAGGTGCTCCAGTCCAGTGATGAGTAACACTGAGATGGCTGGACAGGAAGCCCAGCACCCCCCACTGCTAACCCACCTCCTCCCTGGCCCAGACAGCAATTACTCTGCCACATGTCAGCGAAAGAATAACGGGTCCAGAAATCCTCAATTGACTCCTTGATGGGGATTTTTCTGCCTGGCTATTTTCCAAAATGATATCTATTCAGATTTCAGGGGGTTTTCATTTGTGTATTCATTACTTAGTGGTTACATTGGAGCCAGGCATGACATTTTATGAGAATGCCATTGTCACACTGGGTGTGCATGTTTGTGCTCTTTATCGAGGCCCGCTGTGGGTTCAGCCCTCGTTAACCACACAGCTCGCTGCCCCTCCCATATTTGTCCTATGATTGGATCAGTCTTTGGGCTAAACCTGGGTGTTACCTCGTGTCTCTAACCCCAGCAGGGCCTGGCTGCAATTCAGTCACACACACACGCACACACACAGGCACACACACACACACACACACACATGCACGCAAACACATAGTGAATCAGCATACTTTTGGTTGCATCGCAATGACTTATGTAACCCTAATTGAGACAGAAACTATTTCACATCATGATTAATCCAACTGTGGTAAAATCAAACTCAGAGAACCAGTTTTGTCCCCAGCTGAATGTCTCCACTTAACTAGTGTGAAGTCCAGAATCTGTTTCCTTGTAACAGAGATGTGCACACATGTACACACACATACACACGAGCACACCTGCAGCAGAAACCCTCTGACACCACCCAGGAGGCCTGAGGTGCCAATCAGCCAGGTGTAGATGAGAAGTTCCCAGAAGGCCTGGTATCCCAGGTTCATGCGATGTCAGGCCAGGTTCAGCCCTCTTCCAGCTTGATCGACAGAGACAACCTGGCCATGTCACACACAGCCTCAGGACATGACATGGGGGTTCACCTGGGGATTGTAGTTTTCCTAATAGCCCTGTGCCTCTGCAGGCGGAGCTGCCAGAGCCATTAGTTTGCTTTGCTTTTAGCGGCTTCTTTTCCTAAGCCACAGCGCCAGTGAGAGGGAACATGCTCAGGTAATGACCTCCAGCCACCTCTCCTCCACTGTTGTCTAAGGCGGTGCGAGACATAACAGGGGAATTAGCTGGCCATATCAAATTGCAGCACGATTTTCCAACGGCTGTTATGTGAGGAAGAAAAAAAAATGTGGGGAGCGTTTTCAGTTGAATATTTAAATGTGGTCACAAGCAGCAGCAGAAATAACAACCTTTCCCCTGATTGCCTCAGTACCCTGGAGGTGGAGGGCATAAAGTGGAACTGAGGGAAAAGGAATGGAGATGGAGCGCGGGAGTGAGAATCTGCATGCACTTGACCTTTTCCCACTGATTGAACTACCTCGTTCCTAACTCCCATTTGGAATTCCACAGAGTGCCCACGGAGACTGTCATTATTCCACAGTCTGCAGCAGGGAAGCAGAGGTCATGAGGTATTTTTCATAGTGAAAGGTGATTGACAGCTATCCATGGCCTGCGTCCTCCTGGGTGCCTACTTATGCAATCTCATTTTGGGGATCACTGGGTTTGCATAGCCACATGAAATATGTCATTCACACCTTCATCACGTCGCTATACTGCAAAATCCAGGGTATTAATAGAGTTTCACTTTATTTCATAGGGACAGCCCTGGGATATTGGTTGTACCAGTCTTACCTCATGCATACTACTCGCTCTTCTGTCATGTTGGCGTCTCAGCGCTGGCACACAGAGGATCATTTCCGGCTGGTGGCGTCCCACAGAGCCATGCCTTCCCTCTGCCCTCTGCCTTCTGCTGTGAACACGGGGGGTGAAGCAATCTTATTGCCTTGGGAGGTGAGCTCGAGGAAGAGGGGCTCTGCTTTAGTTTTGGTCACAGCAGGACTTGGGTTGAAAAACAGGTTCCTGGTTCCAAAGCCTCCGAGCTGGCATTTGGGCGTCCCAGGTGCAAGGCACCGACACCCTCTGTCTTCGCTTGCCAGAGAGTGGGGGTTGGTTGGGGGGA